GACATGTCTGAAATACAGAAGATAATTAGAAACTATTTTGAAAATTTATACTCTAATAAAATAGAAAATATCAAAGACATCAACAAATTTCTAGAGACAAATTTCTATGACCTACCCAATGAGGAGRTCATACATGATTTAAACAGATCAATTTCAAGTAATGAAATAGAAAATGTCATCAAAAGCCTAACAACAAAGAAAAGCGCAGGCCCAGATGGATTCTCAGATGAGTTCTACAAGACTTTCAAAGAAGAATTAACACCAATACTCCTCAAAGTATTCCATGAAATAGAAAAGGAAGGAACCCTTATAAACTCATTCTATGAGGCTAATATCACACTGATACCAAAACCAGACAAAGACCCATTAAGGAAAGAAAATTTTAAACCAATATCCCTGATGAACAGAGATCAAAAATTCCCAATAAAATTCTGGCAAATCGCATACAAAAACATATTTAAAAGATAGTGTACCATGATCAAGCAGGGTTCATCCCAGGGATGCAGAGTTGGTTCAGTATACAGAATCAATAAACATAATTCATCWTATTGATAGACTTAAAAACAAGAATCATATGATCATCTCAACAGATGCAGAAAAAGCATTTGACAAAATACAGCACACCTTCATGTTCAAAACACTAGAAAAACCAGGGATAGTAGGAACATACCTCATCATTGTAAAAGCTATTTATGATACACCCAAGGTCAGCATCATTCTAAATGGAGAAAAATTGAAAGCATTCCCACTAAAAACTGAAACAAGACAAGGATGTTTCCTCTTTCACCACTTCTATCCATCATCATCCTTTAAACTCTAGCCAGAGCAATTAGACAAAAGAAAGAAATTAAAGAGATGCAAATAGGTAAAGAAGAACTCAAACTATCACTATTTGTTGATGAAAGATTCTATATCTAGAAGATCCAAAAAATTCCACCAGAAAATTCCTAGAACTAATAAATGAATTCAGCAAAGTAGCAGGATATAAAATCAACACCCATAAATCAAACACATTCCTTTACATCAGTGATGAATCCACTAAAAGAGAAATTAGGAAAACTACTCCATTCACAACAGCCTCAAAAAAATAAAATAAAATAAATACTTGGGAATCAATCTAACAAATGAGATGAAATACTTCTACAGTGAAAACTACAGAACACTAAAGAAAAAAGTTGAAGAAAACCTCAGAAATTGGAAAGATCTCCCATGCTCCTGGGTAGGCAGAATTATTATTGTCAAGATGGCTATACTACCAAAAGTGTTATACAGATTTAATGCAATTCCTGTTAAAATCCCAATGACATTCTTCATAGAAATAGAAAAAGCAGTCATGAAATTTATTTGGAAAAATAAGAGACCCAGAACAGCTAAAGCAATCCTTAGCAAGAAGAGTGAACTGGGAGGCATCATAATACCAGACCTTAAACTATACTACAGAGCAATACTAACAAAAACGGCATGGTATTGGCACCAATAGACATGTAGACCAATGATATAGAATAGAGGATAGAGACAAATCCACATAAATATGGCTATCTCATTCTAGACAAGGGTGCCAAAAATATTCACTGGAGAAAAGATAGCATATTCAACAAATGGTGATGGCAAAACTGGAAATCCATATGCAGCAAAATGAAATTAAACCTCTATCTCTCACCCTGCACAAATCAACTCAAAATGGATCAAAAACTTAGGCACTAGAACTGAGACCCTGCACCTAATAGAAGAAAAAATAGGCCTAAATCTTCACCATATCGGCCTAGGATCTGATTTCCTTAACAAGACCCCTGAAGCACAAGAAGTAAAATCAAGAATCAATAAATAAGATGGATTCAAATTAAAAAGCTTCTTCTCAGCAAAGGAAACAATCAATAATGTGAGGCGAGAGCCTACAGATTGGGAGAAAATCTTTACCACATGCACCTCCGGTAAAGCATTAATCTCTAGGATATATAAAGTACTCAAAAACCTGAACACAAAAAAAAAACCCAAATAACCCAATCAATAAATAGGCTAAGGAACTGAACAGACACTTCACAGAAGAAAAAATACAATCGATCAACAAATACATGAAAAAATGTTCAACATCTCTAGCAATTAGAGAAATGCAAATCAAAACTACCCTAAGATTTCATCTCATTCCTGTCAGAATGGCAATCATCAAGAATACAGGCAACGATAAATGTTGGCGAGGATGTGGGGGAAAAGGTTCACTCATACATTGGTGGTGGGACTGCAAATTGGTTTAACAACTATGGAAAGCAATATGGAGAGTCCTCAGAAAACTGGCAATGAGATCCAGCTATCCCACTCCTTGGTTTATACCCACAGGACTTAAAATCAGCATACTACAGTAATGCAGCCACGCCAATGTTTATAGCAGCTCAATTCACAATAGCTAGACTATGGAACCAACCTAGGAGTCCCTCAATAGATGAATGGATAAAGAATATGTGGCATATAAACTCAACGGAATATTACTCAGCTTTAAAGAAGAGTGAAATTACGGCATTTGCCAGTAAATGGCTGGAGTTGGAGAATACCATGCTAAATGAAATAAGCCCATCCCACAAAACCAAAGGCCAAATGTTTTCTCTAATATGCGGATGCTAATTCACARTAAGGCGGGATGGCAATAAAATGGCATAATTTGTAACCATGAATAGTAGAGAAATATTTCAGCTAGCTACCTGAAGCTGAGTTCTCCTGAAGAAACTTTAGACCCACACACTAAAGTCAACTTGCCCAACTCTGCAGTGAGAAAGTGAGCCCAAGACGCTCACCTGAGGCCTTAGCTGCAGCAGAGCTGCCAGGCTCCCGACCCTGTCTCCAGGGCACCTCCTCCCACTCCACGCCTACACTCTGTGAAATACACCCATTTCTGGGAGGGGAATGGGTGATATAAAGCTGCTTTCAACTACATCACTTTTTGTGCATGATGCAAACACAATTCAAATTCTTGTGCAGGGAACTCAGAAATCTAGAATTAGAACTAAATCCTAGAAACAAAAAATCTTCAGCAAATTCCCAGAGAAATCCAATACCCTGGGGCACAGGTGGTAGGGATCAAACCCACAAGGCTGCTGCCCTGATGAGAAAGTCCTGGAAGACCTGGCTACGCAAAGCTTGTCACGGTTCCTGCAGGGAAGAAACTCCCCACGGTTCCTGTGGCCCCCTCCTCCAGCATGTTAACCTCCACTGTGATCGACACAATCCCACCCCACCCCAAATACTGACTCCTGTACTTCCCTGAGCAAGAACTCGGATCAATGTCAAAAAGTCATGCTCCCGGTCTTCAATGCTGGGTTCTCGTTACATACAAAGAATAACAGGCTGATTGACAATGGCATGGCAATGATGACACCAGAAGCAACCACTTATTTCACCTTTAGCCCTAATAACAACCCTTAAATCTAAGCATTAAATCTATTTTACAGATTACAAAACAGAGGCCACAAAGGGGGAATTAATGTCCGACCAATAGGTGAAAAAACCTGAATTCAAATCCAAGGCTACCTGACTCCCAAAGGAGAAAAAGCTGTCTCAGGAGACAGGCTATTCCTGCCAAGAGGCTGGGCATCACCAGGCAGGACTGAACAGAGTGGGGATCCGAGCACTGAGTGCACGGCTGGGCAGACCAGAGGCGAGTCTCCTGCCTACTGTATCTCTGCCCAGGGGTGACCACCCATCTCTACTGGAGATCTGCTGTGGACACACCACCTCTCTGTGCATTACCTGAACCCTGGCTATCCTTAACACTTCTTATGGATCCTCAACTAACCATTCTGAGCCCCTCTGATTTCTAATGATCTGACATTTCTCAAATCTCAGGCCCTCAAGACCTCAGTGTTTTACATGGACTCACAGGTCGTTCTTATTAAATAAATGAAACTGCACTTAACACAAAGGAGGTWTAAAAAGTAGTTGTATAGACAAATAACCTCAGTATTAATCTCTTTACATACTCAAATCCATAGAATGAAACTCTGCCTTCTAATCCTGAAGTTCAAGATTTCTTAGAAATACACAGCAATAAGATCCACAGTTTATTCCACAAGTCTAAACATATATAAAGAAATATACAGTACCTCTTGATTATTGAGTCAGGATGTTATTTTCCTCTAATCTTAAAGAGAAAAAAATCAAGAAAATTAAGTGTTCAGATATAAAGAACAAATTCTAATTTTCTACAAAACTACAGGCAGTGGTAACATACACTTTTTTCCCAGTCTAAATCTTAGAGAAATAGCAATGAGAATCAAATTACAATAGTATGTTAAAAATAATAGAAAACAGCTTTGTGTGCAAAGTAAATATATCAATAGTCACTTAAAACTATGTATCATATGACAAATCATCACCCTTGTTGGTAAATCAATGTTCTTGACCATCAGCCTCATTTTGAGTTTCCTAGCAAGACACCATCCACGTGGCTGCAGTCATGTCTGTTATTCAGAAAAACTTCCTTAGCTCCAAAATAAATAACTATAAAACTCAGAAAAGGGAACCTCATTTCATTTAATTATACAATAGGCAGTTACTTTTCCTTAAATCACCAGACTGCTTATCAGTTAGTCATCTTTATAGAAATGTACCTTTGTATTCCACAAAAACTCCATAAACCTATTTAAATGTTAGGATTAATTATCATACTGATCATTACTTAAATTAATAAGAAATTAAGACTACATAGAGCATAACCACAAATAAAAGCAAAATTTGCTCTGAAATTACTTTTAACATGTGGGTGACAATTTCAAGAAATGATTACAGTAATCAAATAACACAGCAATCAAAAGGATGGCTCACTGAAACTACGTAATATGTAGACTGAGTCAAGCAAGCAGAAATGCAAATTTCATATTTTTTATAACATAAAAATATTTTGAGAAAGTAAACACAATGCAATCTTACTTTTTCGTACAGTCTTGGTTTGATTGGACACCATACTGACAGCTTCAGATGGAAGGCCAACATATACTCCTCCATAGTTTCTTTAAGAAAAGAATTCAGAACAATTTAAATGGTACTATATAGAGAGGAACCAAGAAAAGTACAAAGTACTTCAATTATCTAATTATTAAAATAACTCATGGTTTTTCAAAAGAAGAATTCAGARTATTATTGTCCATGGAAATATAACTTCTTTCTATGTAAAAAAGAAGCCAAGGATCTGAACAGACACTTCTCAGAGGAGGACATACAATCAATCAACAAATACACGAAAAAAGTGCTCACCATCTCTAGCAATCAGAGAAATGCAAATTAAAACCACTCTAAGATACCATCTCACTCCAGTAAGAATGGCAGCCATTATGAAGTCAAACAATAACAAGTGCTGG